GTAAAAACTAGCGGCCGCCCGCGACTTCGTACGCGTGGATCTCGTTTTACCCCCTTCATCTATCTTACGCGGTTTAGATTTTTTCATACAAATGTTTTTTCCCGCTAACTCCTGTTCCCATGGGAATTTTGCAATATCCTGTTGTAACTAAGCTTCAAGTTTACTAAGGTACCTGCATGCCAAATTTCAAGCGTCTAACTTAAGCGGTTTAGATATTTCATACAAAAGGATTTTCCCTGTAATTCTCGTTCCCGTGGGAATTTCGGGAATTCCTTTCTTAGTGCACCTCTACAGCACCTAAGCTACTACGTCCCTTCCAAATTTCAAGTGCCTACGTTTAGCCGTTTAGGTTGTGCGTTGATATGTCAGTCAGTTTCTCCTTTTATATTACATTCGATTAAAATGTACACAATTTATCGGACGCTATTAATTAAAATTTGTTACTGTAATGATAATTTTATGACTATGACTCATAAATCGGAAGCTTCTAGAAGATACTACGCTAGTAAAATGGGATCAACGACCTTTAAAACTCACAAACGACTTTTATCACGTTGGTGCCGTGGTCTCGAAGCTATTTAATTTAAACAGTTCAATATATTGAACATATAATGGTCACAAAGTTTGTGTAATGGTGCTATTTAAAATTCTGCTACATAATTATAAGAAAATTATGACGTACAGTCAGCGTCAAATAGTTCTTGACACCCAAAGTAGCCAAAAAGTTCGCAACTCGTCTTTGTCACAAATGGAATATTAAAGGTTGTGTGTGTTGTCAAGTTTTTGGTCACTTTGGATGTCGCGAACTATTTGACGCTGACACACAGATGTGTGCTGAAAAGTTGTGTTTAGTGAGGATCAGAAAGTAAGAAACCTATAATTGACCGGAAGTTTGAGAAAAATCCTTAATTTCCGGTCAATAAACGTTATCATTAGAGAGTAAATATTAGGAAGACGGCCCCGGCAGGACGCAGGACTTGAGAAACGGTGCCAAAGATCACCAGTGGACCACATTATCATCGCTCAAAAGGAACTAGGAACACATCATCATCATCATTATCAACATCATTTCAGCCATAGGACATAGCTGCTGAACATAGGCCTCCCCTGCTTTCCGTGTTGACTGATTGGTAGCGGCCTGTATCCAGCGCCTTCCTGCTACTTTATAAGGTCGTCGGTCCACCTTGTGGGTGGACGTCATACGCTGCGCTTTTCGGATTCCGGTACGAGGCCTCCCCTCCAGAACCTTGTTGCCCCATCGGCCGTCAGTTCTGCGTACTATAATGGCCTGCCCATTGCCACTTCAGGTTGCTAATCCGTTGGGCTACACTTAATAACTTAAAACTGTTTTTTGTTACTACATCCTAATCCTATGGTGTGGGGTATCGTTGCATAGGTTTTTCAAAAATAATGGGAGCGTGTGAAGACCATTTTCCGATTCAGGAATGGATAATTATGATGGATTCTATAATATGGATTTCAGAAATCTTCTCGCGTTAATGTTAGCGGAATCTTTAGCATTTAATATTATACTTATTGTTAAAGACAAGAGTTCAGTCCTCATCAGTCAAATGACTTATAAAAATATTTTTTCTACTTCTATTTTCGTTTCTTCAACAAATATACAATTCACAAACACCTATTAATAAACCGTATATTTTTATTGTATTTCTTTACTTTTACCTATTGTTCTATTAAATTTAACACGAGTACAATAATTATTACTTATTTGAGGTTAAAACTCATAATACACGATACATTCGATAAACACAATTTTTAATTAATATCAAATAGAAAAAATAACATGTGCAACCAACTGTGTTATTGCTTGGCCAGACTTTAAATAAAATTGTATGAAAGATAATTGGTTTGTTGACACCATTAAAAGTCTTTAAAAATACTTTTTAAATCAGTTTTTAATTAACTGTAACAGTTCATATTTAACTGTGATAATTTATTGCGTAATTGTTGTGTTCCGGCAGTTGAGAGGTAAGCTAGCAAGTTCCTTTGTGGTTGAGGATTCCGGGTGAACCTCGCTTCCACCTTCAGCCTGATCATCAGTTTCCATCAGGAGAGACGCAGGCCAAGAGCTTCCTCGTTGTAGATTAAAAATCAATAGGGTGGTTGAGTGGACACCCTAGCTAGTGTAGTTGTCAATTGACGTACTTTTAATGTCAAAACGAAAAACAACACTGCCACAGATTTTTAAGACAATTTATTTTGGAACGATGACGTCATCAGATGATAGCGATCGAACTCAAATTGACTATCAATTTATTTACCTATTGATTTCAAAGCTAATACAGAAAGAAACGGAATTTTACAGCCTTTCTAAAACTATTACTCGGTTTTCAGGCGTCCAAGACCAATTTTATGACAAGTTTTCAACACGACTTTTGCCGTTAGTTTCTAAATCAAAATAATTTAGTTTTTGCATCCGAGCCGGTGCGTCTCGTTGCAAAACAAACTAAGATGAAGAGAAAGGTGGGAAAATTCCATTGAGCGATGCTCGCGAGTGTAGTGCATTTCCTGCTCTACAAGATTTTCTTTCTCTCTCTTTCCCAAGTCTATTTACACCTCAATTTGACAACCATCAGCTGATGACATAAATGAATGTTAAGAAAAGGCGTAACTTTTTGCCAGTTTGGTAGACTTCGCTAATTATAACCAAGAGGCGTCCACAGCTGGACAAAGAAGGATATCCACAATAAGAATAAGAATGTCTTTTTTATTCAGCACAATTTAAGGTATACAAAGCAAGAGTAAGTAAACATAAAAAAATAATAAAAACATAATAATTATGCTGAATAGGCGCCCGCTCAGCAAAAATCGCGACATAACACAAACGTCATGCCGAAGCTGGTTTTCAGCGGGAACCAATGACTGGTCCTGCTCTGCCCGCATCCAGGTTCTTCCCGCGACCTTCACCACATCGTTACACGAGGTTTTCCAGTTTCGTGGTTGCCACCACAGACCATCAAAGAGACCTCTTTCTACGTTCTGTGGTTGCCACTCCCGAACTTTTCTGCCCCAAAAACCGTCAGGTAGATGGTGAGGTATGTATTAATTTGGTAAGCTTTATTTTGGTAAAAATAAATTGTAGCCCATTAGAAATTGGTAAATTAAATAATAGCAAAGCTTGCAACTTCGGAAAACGTGTGTGACGCGAAAAATATCTATCTTAAGTACCTACATGTAAACAATACTATGTATTTATTTACTTAATAGGTACCTACTTAAGTATATTAAAAATAAATACACAGGAATAGGCTTTTGTCCATCAGTGGACGTCTTTCGGCTGAAACGAACATAATATTATGGTTACCTATATTAACCGGATGCATTGACCGACCGCGGAATCGAAACGTAAACCTCACGAAAACATGCAACGGGCAGCAGAATCCAACGGTTACGAAGCGAATTATCAAATGGGTACGTAAGTAGGTACATGAATTACATAAAAACATAATTAAATACTAAATTAATAATCAAAATTTATATTTTAATATTAGAGGTAGGTACTCGTACTTACCTTGTACATAGGTACCATTATATTCTCAACAAACAAATTCATTAACATAGCTATGTACAGTTGTTTGTATACATTCACTGTTTGAGTACCTAATTATTTGTACTGAACCTTCGTATCGTAGTCACACTCACAAGTACCTACATACCTACCTACATAGTAACCCTACATTCTAGGCACAAAATTCTAGTCAAGTAGGTAAGTAGGTATAAACTTCGCCCAAGAAGGTCTACCTACCTAGTTATAGGTCTACCTATNGCAAACGCTTCCTCCAATTTAAGAGACCCAAGGAGGCGAAGGGAATCTCTTTTAATAATTTTAATATTGGGAGCTATGGAATTAAAATTCGAAATGACCCTATCTGAATTAGGGCAGGAGTCGGGTACAAACAATTCACATTTTGAAAAATTTAAATCTAAACCGGCTTTTTCAAAGTTTTGTGTTAACATATTTAAATCGGCCAAAACTGTATTAGGGTCTCCTCCAAGGGTCCCGTCGTCTAAATACCACATTATTATTAGAGGTAGTTACTCGTACCTTGCCTACATACCTAGGTACCATTAAGTATATTCTCAACAAACAAATTCATTAACATAGCTATGTACAGTTGTTTGTACACATTCATAGATTAGATTGACTATTTGAGTACCTAATTATTTGTACTGAACCTTCGTAGTCACACTCACAAGTACATACCTACCTACATAGTAACCCTACATTCTAGCACAAAATTCTAGTCAAGTAAGTATGTAGGTACCTATAAACTTCGCCCAAGAAGGTCTACCTACCTATTTATATAGGTCTACCAAAGTAGGCATACCTACTTACAGTCTACGAGTTTAAACAGCCAAGGCCCATGACTTGCTCAAAAATATAAAATGAATTTTTAGATTATTGATTCCGTAACGTAAGGCGCGCTCGACTATACAATTTTTATATTACCAAGTAATACAAAAACGCACACAGAAGTAACTTTATCCATACGATAACTACACATACGGGAAGTCACGCACACCAACACAGTTTTACATAGAAAAACAGCCGTTCTCCTCTCTAGCCCACTATCTATACGTAGTATAGAAAAAAACTTCAAAATAGTACGGCTTCACACACATTCCCGCATCATTAAACGAATGTCTAACGCGAAAGTATCAAACTAGCACCGCAATACAGTTCAGAATCGCTCGCACTATCTTGGCCGCCGTCTCGTTCTTGCAACCGAACGCTTTCGAGTTTTCCCGTTCACGATATTCCAACTCAAAATACGCCAAAAATGACGTCGAGCCAGTGTTGTTTCGAAAACAGTGTCTCGCGTTTCTTTCAACTGACGCCGCGCGCCCGCTCACCATTTATTATTTGGAATTTTCCGATCGACTGATTACTGTCCGTAGTAAGTTTTACAAACAAATTCGTATCCGTTTCGAATTTTTCGCGATTAGCGCCAAATAGGAAAGTCGTAAGTGGTGGAGTCAATACGGTTCATTTTGGCTTGTCAATCAAAGCTACCCGGCCGAATTAGGACGTCACAATAGTCCGCTGCCCTCGCATTACGACAGTTTGTTTTGTAATCTGCCGTATTGCACATAGAAAATTCTGACAGCTCGGAACCGTCACAAAAAATAATGTCGTTTTTATTACATTTTTTGATAAATTATTATTCAAATTTCATATCGGCGCCGATAGAACGTCCCTATCGATTTTCCTATTTGGCGCGCGACTGTATTTTGTACATTTTCGAAAGGTCCGCGGCGGGGAGTCTAGTCGCTTTCGAAAAAGATAATAAAAATTTTCTCAGCGACCGAACGGACGTCGCAAGCGGTGCTGTAAATTGGTAATAATTCCGTTGATTACACAGTAGTAATACATTGCCCGAATATGGGTTAGCGGCAAGGAATTCCGAGATCTTGCGACCATTGACTTCTGTGATACTTCATAGTTTGTTTGTGTGTGTTTTCTATTTTGTTTGTTTGATAGTTGTGTACAGTGCATTCCAATCGTGAAAGTTACTATAGAATTGTGTTTTTGTGGTGTTTCGGATTGTTTTGGATGCCAGGAGTGGCCTGGGAGGATGACCTAACGGACTCATCATCAGCGTCAGCTGATCGCCGAACGTAAGTTACTTGTATGCCTTCTCTTTAAAAAAAAAGTTGACCCTTCAAATTTCGAATGGCCATAGGTCACTTCAATTTTAAACTTAGAACGCCCTAAATACTATTTAAATTAGCGTTTTGATGACTCATTTCTTCTGATAATTTTGTAACTCATTTGTTGTTATTGAAATGACATCTAACAGTTTAAACATGATATTAAATTCCTGTGAAAGTAAGCAATGCATTAGAATGTAGTATGTTTACATCTGTTTGAGCTACAGTTGATATGTTGAAAGAAATCTGACCATGTTTACTGTTGGTTTCCTTTTAATATCATTGTCACTCCAAATTAGGCAAAAGAAAAACAAAATATAGTTTGACTGTATTATTCATGTTCTATGAAGAAACAATTTTAAAGTTTATTAATCACTTTGTAATTCTTTAGTTAATTACAGGAAGATTACTAGAATGTGATTGGTATTTATTAATAAGTTTTACACCCACAATCTTAATCTAACAATATAAGTACACATTAGGCAATTTAGCATTTAAAAACTAGCGTTTAGAAGATCCCCCATGAGTTATCCTTGGACTACCATGATCAGTAGTCAAATTGGGCTTCTGTCATTCCCAAAATGATTGTCAAAAAGTTTCAAAATGTCCAGTTATGTCATTTGTAGCCATATCCAGAAAGATTCCCAATGAAGCATAATTTTTACGAATATAATTTACGGTGACTTCTAAAATCTATCTACTTTTCCTATAATGTCTATTATGGTGTCCTAGTTATAAGAAATTTATTTCCTTTACTTCATTATTTTGTGTGCTGTATAATCTTAGTATAATTTTTCTGTTTTTTTTTAACGTTACTTTTTGTTATGTCCCGTAGGATAAAAAATAATTCATTTAAATTATTAATAATAAGAGACAAAAACTAAGGTCAAGATGTTTATTTCTGATTTATATTAGACTTAAAACCATTAACTTATCACAAGTTTAAAGAATGTTTAAATAATGCTATCTTGATGGGTTATTTTTAGTAGTTCACTGCCAGGGTTGCGAAACATTAAGCAATATTTACAAATTTTGTATCATATTTATAATACCATGAAGGTACCTATTTTGCTTTAAATGATTGATTTGTAGTGTTTTCTTTAACAAATAAAAATAATCACTTCTTTCACAATATCCATATTGAAAGTGAAATTATTCATCCAATTTTGTACATTATTGTTAGTTAAGGATACATTTGACTTACCTAAATGTAGCTTATTGTAATAATAGAAGGTATTTATTTAAACAATGCAAATATTATGCATGTAAGATAATTTTAATCTTAGACGGGTTATTCCCATTACTAACATATTTGGATGTTATATTTGGTTAAAATTTTCCTATTTTTGTGGTGTGCCTTACTAAAATAATTATGATGTACCTACTCAGTAAAATACTATTGTTACTAGGTTACTTAGGCTGGGTTGCACCATCTTAGTTTAACTTTAACAAACGTCAAAAATCTGTCAATCTCCATACAAAAAAGACTGGTTATTGTTAAAGTTAGGTGGTGCAATTCAGCCTTAGTAGGTAATGTTTGACTGCCATAGGTAATGAATCAACAAAGTCATTGTAGTGATTATTAATTTTAAAATTATTAATATTATTTTTTTAATTAAAGAAAAAATACAATATCAACAGCACCAGTATGTGTCACAGAGGTGTAAATTAAAAAGTGACATGTAACAAAACAATCTTCTTCTTCTTCTTTGGTTTATGGCGATGAACTTGCGTTTTTTCGCCACTGAGGGCACACTATTCCGCCAATGTCACGTGCGCAGCTTTTACACAGTGCAGTGGTTATAAAATAAGTAATTTGTAGCTGCAATTTAAGCAAACTTAAATACCTAAAACAAACAGACATCACAAATAAGACAACACAATACGTGAAAATAAAATATAAAAAGAACAAACAATAAAATTATGGGAGACAATAAAAAGGGATGTTGTTGTTGCGGGCGACAAACTAGGAAAAAAAAAAAAAGTCACAGAGCCAGAGGGATAATTTAAAAACAGAACCATCCACCTACAAATTAATTTTGTTTAAGTTAATGAATTTAACAAGGGATTTTAAAGTGGAAGGGTTATTACAATTAAGTACACACTTAATGTTAGTAGGGAGTGGGATTTTTTTTGGATAACAAAACAATAAAATTCTAGATCTTGTTTTGACACCTTACATGCACAGATGAAAAATGACAGTATGAATAGGTACAAGTATCTCCCTCCCTCCAATTAGGAATACCCCCTACTTCCTATCAAATGCATGATGCAGTGCCACATTATGCATTTAGTCCAACCTTTGCCATTACAGCCAACTCTTGCTACAAAGTGTGTACCAAACATTGGCGCCAATGTTTTAACATCTAGCTCTCGCGTTTGCTCTTATGCTGCTAGTCTAGACTTCAAGCGCGTCGTTATATGACAATGCGCGGGCGCAAAGCCTTTATATTATGTAAATCTTTATTTTACTCACACAAAAAATCGAACAGAATTACATAGTGAATGTATAAGATACGTTTGATGTTCATTCTTGTGTGAGTCTGATGCCTATGCTAGGTATTTAGTATACCTGTATTACAGGTCATCAGGCTCCCACCACCTCAGGTCACTAATAAGCTTTAATTTTACACTTTAATATTAACTTACTCGTATCAGAATTACAAGAAATATGTGTGTGTGTGTGTGTGTGTGTGTGTGTGTGTGTGTGTGTGTGTGTGTGTGTGTGTGTGCGTGAATGTGAGTGCTTCTTTAGAGAATGTTAAGTAAATAATATATTAACCTATACTACCATAATAATAATAATTTCCTATTTGTTTTGGTATTTATGTTAACACTGTTATTAGCTTTTCGGTTTCATCATAGCTCAAGTCCATGAGCCACTCTGAAACTTTCTTTTTACACTCACGATGCAGAAGAGGGTAGATGGTGAGGGTAGAATTAGCATTGTTGTAGAGTCGGTTTCCCAGAAAACAAAAGAATCTGTGGGCAAATTTTGTTTGGAATTGGACGGTGGAGCATACAGTACCCTTCCTGCGTTTGTCAGCGTTAAGAAGCGGGTTATATGGGAAGAGGGCGTGTTTGCGAAGTATGACAGCAAGTACAAACAGTTGTCGGACAGTTAACACTTTCCAATGTTTATATACCTCTGTTGTGGGATGTAGAATGGGTAAGAATGCACCAACCTTGAGCACCGCTCTCTGCGCCCTCTCCACTCTCAATAAATGAGTTTTTGCAGCACCACCCCAAGAGGAGATACAGTACCCTAGGAGGGATTGGCAAAGAGACAAATAGATTGTCCTTATGACCTTATAGCCAGCAACATGGCGTAATGTTTTAAATATATATATTAGTTTCCTTATCCTGGAAGCAAGAAGATTTAAGTGGGGTTGGAAGTTGAGGCAGCAGTCAATCATGACACCCAAATACTTCACAGAGTCAGTGGCGACTAGGCCAGGACAAGAACACGTTGCACATGCAGTCAACCTCTGGCATGAGCCCAAGTGTGATGTAAGATTAAAGTTAACCGGAACATTCCTCCTAGTAATCGAAAACGTCATATATTTGGTCTTGCCTACATTGAGTGACAGCAAATTACCGGCCAGCCAATCCGAGACCAACTCAAATCCAGCCTGGGCAAAACGAAAGACCGATTCCCAACCACGACCACGGAACAGCAAGGCAGTGTCATCGGCAAAAGCCACTATTTTACCATTCTGAAGTTTCATCTGACACAGGTCGTTATTAGCTCCAGCATGTCACAATGTCTTATATTAGCTCCAGCACTGTGTCTTAGTTAACTTAAATTAACTAGGTTTTGTTTTGTTTTGTAACCAATTTGTTTCTGAAAGTTGTTTGAATTACCGGGAAAACTTTTTTGAAAATCGGTACTGTGTTCCATAGATTACATCCTGCAATAAATCGTTTCAGCCAAATGACGTCACCTTTGTTATCCACAACATTACTGCTGGACAAAGGCCTTCCCCAAGGATCTCCACTAGGACCGGTCTCGCGTTGCCGCATTCAGGTACCTACTTGCTGCGTCACGAGATCATCAGTCCACCTGGTGGTCTAATGCCCATTTTCACCATCACTTCCTAATTTTTAAGTGAACCCTATGAAAACAAAATGCCTGTTCTGAGGTTAGGATGTGTTACCATAGGGGTCACTTATAAATTAGGGATTGATGGTGAAAACGGGCATAAATGTCTTCCGACTCGTGGTTGCCACTTGAGAACTTTTCTACAATCCTATACAAACAATGTTCTTTATAATATTAAAGTAGAATAGATACTGCTTCCAAATATTCACGCGTGGATTCCGGTCTAGCCGTCTGACATACAAAATCCTTACACGCGCGTGCCCTCTGACATTTTTACTAATGAATAGCTTAATAATGAGTTCAATATCACCAGCTATTAGATCGTAGATTCTAAACTTTCTTCCCCCATTTCACCGCCACTTTTATTTTCGTCCTCACCTAGGCTAAGACCAATCTGTCTCTCTCTTCAGCAGAATTCATCAAAATTGGTTCAGTAGTTTAGTAGACGACATGGTTAACACATACCAAGATTTAAACTTGGAAGTCCTTCCTTTTGCTCTCCCATTGCCGGTGAAGCTGCGACAGCCGCCTAATCTTCTAAGCCTATACTAGCCTTTTTAAAGAAATTACAATGATTATTAATACAAACGATAGAAATAACAGTAAAGGATATCGTACTCGTACAGCACACAAAGTAAATACAATTAAGGAAAAAAGTAAAAACTACGAAACCGGTAGTTGTAATCTCAGACAGACAGGCTTCCAGACTGTTTCTTGTCCGTTGTAAGCTAGCGGTTTAGTCTCCATATCTTGTTCAACTGAGGTCACAAGTCTGCATAATTCTAGTGTCAGACATTATGAGAAAATATGCAGCTATTAAGATTCGACCAAACCAAGCGTCCGCGATGGCGATGGCGATCACTAC